TGGTAGCTGGTGCGGTGCAGTGTTTTGACTTTCGGCCTGGGAACAGAGCTGATAGGTGATGTTTTGGTTTGGCCAAGGACTTTGTGAGCCTCATGCTCTGCCAGGGAGGAGGGGAAGCCAGGAGGAAGTAGAGACAGGACACCTGACCCAAACTGACCAAAGAGGTATTCCATACCACAGCACGTCATGCCCAGGATGTAACTGGGAGTTAGCCGGAAGGGCTGGGAGACTGAGGGGCTGGAGGAGGTATCGGTCAGAGCTTGGTCGGGCTTGGGGGGCGAGTTATCGGTCGGCTGGTGGTGAGATGATGTATTCTCTTCCCTTGTTATTTCCTTTATCATCATTATCATTGGTGGTAGCAGTAGTGATTTGTGTTATACCTTAGTTACTAAACTGTTCTTATCTCAACCCGTGGGAGTTGCATTCTTTTCGATTCTCCTCTCCATCCCTCCGAGAGCAGGGGGAGGGCAAGAAAAGGGGGGGAAGTGAGTGAACAAGTTACCTGACTGGGTTTAAACCGCGACAAGTTGTTACTGGTGACTGAACTGTAGGGCAAGCTTCTGGTCACTGAAGAGCTGATTTAGAGAAGCTTCTTTAGGACTGTTGACTATTTACTGCATTTGATCATCCAGAGCCACAACTTTTGGAGTATGAATGCAGTTTTATATTGCCCTGTAAGAGAAGGAAATGGAAAATGGGTCCTGCTTTTATGCAGATTATCTGAGCTTTTCCTTATGAGCTGTGCGAGCAATAAAGCGAGGCCTGACAGCTTTAAGGCTGCTGTTTAGGTTTGCAAGAAAATACTTTGCAAGAATGAATTCTCAGTAAATGAAGAAGGAGTTGTACTCTAACCACTTCTCCGTTTGTGATAACAGCTCTCTTCCAAGTTTTGTGTGTCTTCACAAAGTTTTGAACATCCTACTGGCTGTCTCTGGAGGAAAAGGTCAAATCCGATGTTGGAATAGTTACACAGTTATACAGGAAATGTGACAAATTCCTTATCTACTGAATGTCAAAGCTGGGATTGCATGTAGATTTGTGATAATTCGGTATGTAGCGTAGCATATTCACAAACTGAGTGAGTCCTTTATTACACATTTATGATTACAGCTGAGCAAACATCTCCTTTGTCATAAAGTGTTATGTGTAACAGAAAGTATATACTGTATGGGTAGCAAAGACATTTAGCTCCAATAGCTGCTTATATTCTAGGTGGCCAAATTGTAAGTCTTTTTTGCTGTAAAATTTCTCTAGAAAATGGCTTCTCAATAGTGAAAAGATTTCATTTGTGACTTACCTGTGCTTGAAGAACAAAATGTGGGCATGGGAGAATCACTAAGGGGCAAGAAAGTGACATGAGATCTGCAGGCAGGAGATGTGGAAGGAAACATATAGCTTGTTGTGAACAAGGGCCTTGTATATTCCCACTGCTGCAGATGATGGCTCTGGGGGTAAAAGTAAAGGGAGCAGAGTCCAAGAATTCCTGAGAAATCAGGAATATTTTGCAAAGGTGAAGGTTACAATCAATGTGCCTGTCCCCTCAGTACTGGGTGGAAAGATGTCAGCAGGTTGAGGGGACCCTATGAGCCTCCCTCCCTCCTAGGGGACGATGTTTTTCCCCAGATGCGCGAACTGGAAAGTGGAACTGATTTGAAACTTTCTGCTGGAATTATATGCAGTAATACATGACTTCTCCAAATGAAACTTTGTTTGAAGATACTTTTTTTTTCTTTTCTTTCCCTAAGAGAATTTAAGAATTTCCAGCTTTATATTGTGACTGCACTGAAAAGGAAGCATAATACCTGATTCTGTGCCTCTGTGGCTTGGCTGGGGAAATAAGCAGGAAGTGTGGGAGTTACTCAAAGGCATTTGGAGCAAAAGACTTTCTGGTCTCACTTCTCAAGAAAGTAAAATAGAAATGACAAAGATCTGTCAAGGTTAGTCAGCTAGTGAGCATTGAGTTGTGCGCTGCTTCTGCAACACATGTTTCTGAGAAGATCTTTCTGCGGTATGTTCCATGAGTTTGATTTTTGTTGCCCTTGACTCTTTTTGAAAAAGCACACAGTTTAATTTTAGAACAAGCTGAGATCAAAGCTTGCCATGTTGCTTCATGACAAATTTTATTTTGTTAGTGTTTTTAATATCCAGCATAATTTATTGCACCTTTTCATAGGCCAATTCATCTGTTTGCCTGAAAAAAAAAGATGTCAGAAAACCAATTTATTGAGTATTGTACTTATAGGCTTAGGAGTATTGCACTTTTCTTGGTAAGAAATTAAAGTATTGCAATTTGAAAGCTAGTCAAAATCATCTGGAAATCCTTCTTCTCTGTAAAAAGTGTAGAAGTGTATGTTTACTTTTATTTCCTTCCCCTTATCAGATTTATTAAGGTTAACGTTTTTTTTTCTGGGCAGATTCTTTTCCATAATTGCAAACTTGAGAAGTGCCAGCACTGATGCTGTTCTACCAATTCAGGTACAAGTTTTCTGTTCAGACTTCTCTTTTTATTAGTGTGGACAGATTATGAGACAAATGGTTCATTACATAGAGGGAATTCAACTGTTTTTATCAAAACAATTCTATTTACAGGCAAACAGAGATTGTTCAAGAGAAATAATTAAAAACTTTTATCTAACTTGAGCAGACTGTAACTGGCTGTAGGGCTGCAGTCTGAATGAAGTTGGAAATAATATAAATTATGACCATTAACACCATTATCCATTTTTCCAGTTCATATCTATTGTGTGATAATTCTGCCTGTTACCCATTCTTATTTATCATACAGTTCTGTCAAGAGGAGAAAGAAATTAGAGATCAACAAATGTATAAGGCATGTGTATGTGTGTGCATGCATGTGAGACTAAATTCTTATGAAATACTGGACCAAATGACTGAGTTCTTGAAAAGATATTGATATCTAAATTCTTTGTTGCATCCTCATGTGGCTATAAACCACAAAAAGAAGACAGGTTTTGAGAAGAAAGGTTTTTCTGTTGCTTTTGTTTTACAGCAGATGAAAGTACAACTTTGAAGAATAAAATATTCTGTTATGGCTTTGCCAACACAGCTACTGCTAAATCTACCTTGCTGACTGATGCAGGATTCCCCTTTGGTGGAGAATAGAAAGGTAGAAAATTACCAATTTGGTTTCTCTACTTCCTCCTCTAATTCACTGTAGAAAAATGATGTGTGAGTGGTGTGCTCTCAAGCTTTGGCAGTCTTTGTTTGAGATAAGTAATCTTTGATATTTCTTTTAATTTACACTGGGGCCTGGCTGCAGTTCTGGTGCTTAAGTAAAGCCAGTGCTCTACTTCTCTTCCTCTGTGCTGGATATTCAGGGCTTGTTCAAACTGCTGTATGTATTATCTTACTACAGACTGTATATGTGGACTTCAATGAGCAATACTAGTAATCCTATCACCGAAGACTACAGATTCAACATAGGGAAAATTAACTAAATTTACTGTAAATTAAAATAAAAATGTAATTACTAATTGGGTAGTGGTAAGTGAAAGAACAAATATTAAAACAATATCTGTCCTACCCCCTGTTATAGGCTTAAGTTCACTCCAGACTCCTCTAGCCCCTACACACCACCAGTGGAGCAGGAGGAGGGTAAGGAATGGCAGGCTGCAGTCAGTCCGTAACGTCTTTTCTCTGTCATTTTTATCTCTCTACACTCTTCCCCTGCTTCAGCATAGGTTCTACGTGGGCTGGAATGGATATCCATCAGGAATATCCATTGGCTATAGTGTAGGTCCTCCCAAGACTGCAGGGGAACCTCTGCTCCAGCACCTGGAGTACCTCTTCTCCTCCTTCTCTGGCCTTGGTGTCCACACTGCTGTTTCTCTCAGGGTTTTCTCACTCCCTTCCCACAGATGCTATGCAGCACTCAGTGGCTTCTCTGCCCTGGATGTCAGGAACATTTCAGGTCCTCCCCCATTGATTCAGCCTGGGCTTCTTCTCAAATAAAATTCAGCAGGTTTCATCCATCTATTAGAAGAAAGTGATAACGGACTTTTTAATGCATTTCATGCCTTGAAGAAGGTGCATGGATTTTTCTTGGAAGCTCAAAAGTTCTAAAGATCTCTTGGATGTATAAGAGGTTTGTCAATAAAAGAAGTTAGACATTTAACAAGGATAAAAAATATCAGATCCATTCCCTTGCTCTGTTCTATTCCAAAATGGATAAAAAGCATTGTTTTCGACCTTTAAAAGACCATAAAAACCCCAACAGATCTGTACTACTGCTTTGTAACTAAAATTCTGTTTTCTTTCATCCACTGGTGCTATGTGAAAAAGACATAAAAACATATGATGGCTTTCCTCTTCAGTTCATTTTAAGGTTCTCTTTAGTGTATTAATGGCAACAGTTTAAATGTAATTTTACTCATGTCTTTCATTTCAGATGTAATGGTTTGTAAAGTAACCACTAGTAAGAGAGTATTTCTTGTGAATGTGATTGTTCATTAAGTAGGCCTTCACAAGATGCCTCTACTGAAAAATACTATTGATCACTGAAGTTAAATTAGGAGATTTTATCAGAAGTTCTGGAAGCTGTTTTCTGTTTAAGGCACAAATGCTTTCTTAAATCCCAGCGTTCATGGGCAAGAATGTGTTGGGTTTTTTTAAAGCTATCAAAATTTAACTAACTCTTACTTATTACTGGACAAGGGGGATTGATCTTAAACCTGGAGAGGGTAGATTTAGATTAGACATTAAGAAGAAATTCTTCATTATGAGGCACTGGCACAGGGTGCCCAGAGAAGCTGTGGCTTCCCCATCCCTGGTGGTGTTCAAGGCCAAGGCTGGATAGGGCTTGAAGCAGCCTGGTCTAGTGGAAGGTGTCCCTGCCCATGGCAGGGCAGTTGGAACTAGATGATCTTTAAGGTCTCTTCAAATCTAACATTCTATGGTTCTATGCTTGGTAGAGATTTATTCTTATGTAGATATCTTCTTTTAGCCTATAAAATTTCTGAGCAAGTCTTTGAATCCTCAGTGTTATTCCTGTAGGAAGCTGTGGGCAAGCTGAGCTTTTAATCCTTTTATTGCAGAGGGGTGGAGGAGCTTTCTCATTGCACATAAATGTGTGCACATGAAGAGAAATCATAGACTTATTTTTTTAAGGAACTTGGGAAAAAAAGGTGATTTTTTGGTATGTCATTTTGGTATGCAAGGTACTCTTTTCTTCTCCCACAGCTTATATACCCTGGCATACAGAAACATCGCATTTTGTGGAAACAGGAACATCTACTACTTCAGAAGTAAGAAGAAGACCAGCATGGCATTTAAACTTTCCCCATTCTTTACCTAGCTATGCATGACAAATTCAAGCCCCAGAAAATTTTAGTACAATTAATTTGCATGACAAATGTTCATACTAGGGAAAAGGTATAATCTGCATTTAATATTCTTTCAAAACTTGTTACATTTTAGGAAAGTGGTATTTCAGACTATGCAAAAATACTGTCTACTTGTCCTGCATGTGCAAGAGAAATAAGATAAAGACAGCCTACACAAAACAATGAGACAAAATTGACAAATGGTGGGACACTGTATAGACCTTTTTAGGTAAGCTTCTCATGCTAGCCTGCTGCTGCAGTTGGCAGAAGTGAAAACCCTCCTAGTCTGCAGTTCTGACCTACTTTTAGTTGTCTGCTTTAGGATAAGATGGATCACATGCTAGAAGGAATGTATTCATAACACGGACTTGAAAGGAAGCCTTGGGTGACTAGCTCAGATTTAAATGTATGTGATAAAAGATTAGGGAAGAGAAATGCCATTCTTCTTTATTTATTTCTTCTGGTGCATGATGGGAAGATTTAACAGGTAGGTGGTTTTGTGCGTAGCTGTTGCAAATATCATATTTTGAAGCATAAATGCCTTGATTCTATTACCACAAACATTTAACAAACTGCAAATAGAGATCAGGAGCTTACAGAAAATGCATATGTTCCTGAGAAGTCACCTTCAGGGGAATGATCTTACTTACAACTTTGGAAAGAAGAATAGTTTGATGATATATTTCTGCTTGACTGATTTAATATCCTCACTTTAAAAGAATAAGTATCCTGCTGTCTTCTTGAGGCTGTTGCTCAGACTCTATTTTACATTCTTACGTGGCACTTGTAAGCACCACATATTTATCTGCACAAAATCCCTGGAAGAAATGAAAAAGCTACTTTTCCATTTTCTAGAAATCAGCATCTTAAGCACAGACAGACTTTGATGTTGGCCAAGTTCCACAGCAAATCTATCCCAGATAAAGAGACTTGAATGTGTCTCTCCCTGGTTATTGGCTTAATTAGATTAATCAATTTTCTCTATTAACAGACATTGACAGGAAACCTTGTGTATCAATAACAAGTATGTGATGGCCATAAAACCCCCTTGTTCCTCCTGTCAGGAGATTGTACTTACCATTGAACCAAGATCTTGCTGATGAAGTTGTATTTCTTCTGGAATTGGACTCAATTTATCACTATGTATTGCTGTGCTATGCCTGTAGAAACATACTTTAGAAGTAGTTCACACATCCCTAACATAGCACTGAAGGGTGAAGTGAGTCCTAAGAGTAACAGCAGGGTATTCCTTAATATTTGTCTTTTCAAAGAATCTGTATTTATAGAAGAGCTTGGTTTCCTCTGGCCATGAAGAGATCTTTCAAATTTAATAAGTTGAACCATAAAATATATTCAAAGATGAGTGTATCAGATAAAAAACCCAGCTCTACTAAACAGTAGCTTCCTGCATGGGTGGGTAACTCAAAAACAAAGCTAGGGCACTAGTTGAGGTACATGGATCAGCAGAGACTACAGGACTTGCTGGAGCAGCAGAGACTACAGGACTTGCTGAAGCAGCAGAGAAGGCTTTTGGGTATCTGACATGTTCTCAGTTCTGTGGCTGGACCTGCATACATATTTGAATAAATTAGGTTGCATCTCGCTTGTCAGTGCTGTGCTACATCACTGACTAAACATGCTTTGGATTGGTGGATGATAAGGGTAAAGCTGTCTGACAGCACGTGGTAATACAATAAGTTGAATTTTTCTCTGATTCACTATTACAGTCTTACAACATCTCTCAGTCTTGGTCATGCATGAAGCTGTCTTCGCAGGCAAATGGGAGGTTAAATCCCAAGCAGTTTAGTGGTAAACAATACAGAAGAAGTCTATTTATGTGATTTACAGTTCAATACTAAATATCACCATCCTTCCAAGCAAAGAGTGAGAACTTGTGAAAGAGTGAAAAGACCAATGTGGGCCCTCTCCAGAAGCTATCAGGAGAACTGGCTACCCTGGATTTAGAGATGGCTGAGGTTCTTAATGACTTCTTTGCCTCTGTCTTCGCTGGCAAATGCTCTGACCACACCACCCAAGTCTTGGAAGGCAGATGCAGGGACTGTAAGAATGAAGACCTTGCACCCACTGTAGGAGGGATCAGAGAGACCATCTTAAGAACCTGAACATGCACAAGTCCATGGGTCCTCATGAGATCCATCCGTGGGTCCTGAAGGAGCTGGCAAATGAAGTTCCTAAGCCACTGGCCATCATATTTGAAAAATCATGGCAGTCAGGTGAAGTTCCTGATGACTGGAAAAAGGGAAATATAACCCCCATTTTCAAGAAGGGGAAAATGGATGACCCAGGGAACTACAGACCAGTCAGTCTCACCTCTGTGCCTGGCAAAATCTTGGAGCAGATTCTCCTGGAAGGCATGCTAAGGCACATGAAAAACAACAAGGTGCTTGGTGACAGCCAGCATGGCTTCACTAAGGGGAAATCCTGCCTGACCAATTTGGGGGCCTTCTATGATGGGGCAACAGAACTGATGGACAGGGGTAGAGCAGTTGATGTCATCTACCTGGATGTGTGCAAAGCGTTTGACACTGTCCCACATGACATCCTTGTCTATAAATTGGAGAGACATCAATTTGATAGGTGGAGCAATCAGTGGATAAAGAACTGCCTGGATGGCCACATTCAAAGAGTTGTGGTCAATGGCTCAATGTCCAGATGGCGACCGGTAATGAATGGTATCCCTCAGGGATCGGTATTGGGACCAGTCTTGTTCAACATCTTTGTTAATGAAGCCATTAACATAATATGTGTTGGTTTTATGACTACTAGTTTGCAGAATTTCCTTCAATCTCAGAATACTTTGAGTTCAAGAGGATTGCTGCATGAAGAAAGATGTCTCAAACGTTTTGGGGACCCCCAAGGGCAATGGAAATGCCCATATCATGGAATTAAACCTTCATGTCTCTTGTAAAATCCCTAGAAGCCCACTAATAATTTTCTGTTACTCCATTCTCTTAGTAAGAGGAGTTGCCTTCTGCAATATCAGCTATGAAGGGCTATGTATGAAAAAATATAGACAATTTTGGTCAACGTCTTCCATCCCAATATGGATAATCTTTGTATATGAGCTTCTATTCCCTTGGAAGAGGAAATCTTCATTAGGGACTGTAGTGATAGGACAAGAGGTAATGGATTAAAAATTAAACAGGGGGAGTTTAGATTGGATATAAGGAAAAAGTTCTTTACTGTAAGGTTGGTGAGGCACTGGAATGGGTTGCCCAGGGAGGTTGTGAATGCTCCATCCCTGGCAGTGCTCAAGGCCAGGTTGGACGAAGCCTTGGGTGGCATGGTTTAGTGTGAAGTGTCCCTGCCCATGGCAGGGGGGTTGGAACTAGATGATCTTAAGGTCCTTTCCAACCCTAACTATTCTATGATTCTATGATTCTGTGTAAGCAGGAGACAAAGCAATGCACAGAGTTGAGCCTGTCAATGAAAAGGTATCTAAGACATTATGAAGACCCTATTGTTAAAGGGTGGTGATCTGGCATTAGATGCCTGCCACAAAGACATGGAAAAGCATCTTGCTAGTTCTGATGTAACAGAATGCCCAGAGCAGGAATGGGTTAACATGGAGGAAATAGGGTGGTTTACTCTTCACCATAACTTTGGAATTTATTATTTTTTATTTTTTAGCAAGGAGAGCTTCTTGCAATGATAAATGTGAATGTCCTAATCTTGCCCCAAAAGCAGGCCTTTGCTGCACTATGTACTGTGTGAGCACACTGTCCTTTGAGCCCAAGCCACTGTGTGCAAAGTTGTGTGGAAAATCCAAGTCTGTGAAAGAAACAGATACTAGTAGAAACACTCCTCCCCTCAGAAAATATACTTTCATTTATGTATTTATTTATTAATACAGGAGCTGCAAGACTGTGAATGACCGCCTTCTAAAGATTTTTCCCACTTGCCAGACAAATTCTTCAACTTCTAGAAGAGAAATTAGACCGGAGTCTAATTGCCTCTCTCAGGCCATTTATCCTATCCAATTGCTTTACCATGTGTAGAGGTACGTATTGTCTAGGTACCTCAGCGTGGAGCCCTAACATTGCAGACATGCACCCTCACTGCTCAATCTCTTTTCCTCTACCCCTGTCAATAATTGAGTGCTTTATAGAAGGCAGAACACTTCAGCCTTTTGTGTATTTTGGAGCACACTCAAGTTCCTAACTCCTATTCTTCCTCTCTTCCAGCCTGGAGAGTGAAAAGATAACTTACTGAAAGTGCAATGTAAACCTCATACGTTTCCTCAAAAGTTGTAGTATCTGTGCAAACATTGCTTCCAGGGGAAAAAAAAGGAAAATAAATAAATTCCCAGCTAGCTTGAATTCTTATACACACAAGCATTTCCATTAGCTTCATGGGGATGACTTGTAAGATCGACTTCCACAATTAACAGTCTTGCAAAATTGAGTGTTAAATCAACATTTTTTCTTTTCCAGCACCCTGAGGAGTGAGAAAACAGAGCCTCTGAGGACAAATTGATAGGATAGATTTCTGCACTAGAAACAAATACCTTAATTTGTGTTTGTAGAAAAACATTGTGCTGTCTAATGAAAACCAGGCATGTTTGTTAAAGATATATTCCGTTACTAACACTCTCCACCAGATAAAGACCAGGTTTCCTTTTAATTTCAAAATCCTTCCAGGCTATAGTTCTTTTATTTAGGGGTGGGTTTTTTTGTCTTTTCTGGTAACTATTAATGCTAAAATTTATTGCCAAAATTAAACCAAGATAAATTCTGTAAACTGTGAGCTTATGCAGGTTTCTTGTTATGAATTTAATTTTCTGGTGCTAATATATAAAAAAATAGAATGCAACAATTATAGTACGTTTTGGGACATAAAAATTTTTAATGCTTTTTTTTTCAGCTTGTTTGTTTGTTTGTTTCTTATTTTTAGCTTCAGAGCCTCAGAAAGTACCTGGATGAGTTTGGTGAAAATATCCTATTTTTCCTATTCACTTTATTTTTTTTTCATTTTTTTTTTATTTTTATTTTTTTGCTACAAAGGGTTGTTGAGACTGCTGAGTTTCCTCTTTTTTTGGAGAGAGTAGATAAGCACACAGCAGTCAGTGCTCTGTACCTGCTTTAATTCTTGTCCTGAAACCAGGCTGAGGAGCTAATAAACTTGGGTAAGCAGCCTTAAAGCTGAGGAGCAAAGCTGAAAAGGAGTGGGAAACTACAGAAATTTAAATGTGTATTGGATGACTTTAACAGATCATGTGGGATAGTATGTCACTGATAATTTCTTGAAGTTTTGCACCTGGAGGCCATAACCTGCTACGCTGAAACTGGAGCCCTGAAATCCTGGATCTCTCCTCTCCCTCTGCTCTCCATTCCTGTTGTAAGGTCTAGATCCAAATAAGGTTGGGACAACTTGAATCTGAACCTGAAAGGGCAAGTGGGGCCTTAGGGCCACGATTTAACAGTGCTCTCTGATGAACAGAGTGCCTGCATCCTCTGCCTCAGATGAACTGTCCATTAAACACTTACAGATACCCTGGTAGCAGAGGTATCCTTGCTACCTAAAGGAGTGATCACTCTCTTCTAGCTCATACTGAAAAATACTAATCAGGCAAATCTTGCAGCTCAGCATGAGCACAGCAGAGATCCTTGAATTAGCTCCTAATAAGCATGGGGACAGCTGAGTTTATTAGCTTATACAGATCACTTTATAAACACACCCATACTGCTTTTGGGATGTGTGCCTGTCTACCTTCATGGGCCTAACCTGCATTGTCTACATCTGTTATCATCCATCATAAGCTTAGGGATTTCTGCACTCTGCATTTTTATGTGGAATAAAATCCCTAGAGAAATCAGCCTCCTTCAGTGGTTCTGTCCCAGTGTCCAGCTCAGTTACCAGAACAGTTTGAAACAAAAACTTTGGGATAAGGATAGTTGTGCACATATAAGGGGATTGGAGCGGGAATTAGGAAGATAAATGTTGTTTTGCTCTGTTATCCCCAGAAGAAGGCTGTTCTTTTTGTCTTGTGGCAGAGCATACAGGGAGATGAAAAATAAATGCATGTAGGCTGGTTTTTACACTAAGGTCACTTTTAAAAAAAATTACTTGTTCCAGCTGTGGAATAAGCCTGCTAGTCTTAGCTACCAATCCCAAAATCCCGAAGGGAAAAATGCTTTCAACTAGCAAGTGGTAAGGAGGACCTGGTGAATGCAGGATGGAAGCTTGTGCCCAGTGTAAGAACCAAGGACTGCTGAGATTCTTCAGGAGATACGATTCTTGCTGAAATAGAGTAGCACAGGCTTCTTATAGCCGAGGGTTTAAATGGTTAATCTCATATATTGAAATTTAGGTCACTGAGTATTGTAGAAGCCTATTTTTCAGGCAGCTGGTGTTTGAGCAGTGTTGTGCTCAGGTGCAAAACTGGTGGGAGCAATTTTAGGAGACACAAGACTGTTTTGGCAGACATGAAAGATCCCATCCTGAAAGGTGCTCCTGCAGCTGTGTGGTGAAGGCAGCTGCCTCTAGTCAGTTCCAGCTATTCACTGCAGACTTTGGGGATAAGGGTGATCCTGAGGTCACTGGGCACATGATTAGGATTTATTAGAAGCTCTTCTTCACATGCAGCCGGGGATATTTTCTAAGGTTCCCTTTTAATTCTAATATAGCTTATTGCTCCTATCAGAAGTGTCCCATCCTCATGACAGCATGTTTGTGAACACAGTGTTTTCAGTGTTCATTTACTGTTCTACTCTTATTTATGTACTCATTTTTGCCCATAGGTTGAAAATGTGCAGCTATGCTCCACAGAATGGCTTAAAGACCATCAAGGAAATTATCAAGGAGATGAAACATTCTTGTTCTGTCCACTCAGTCTGCATAGCATCTCAGTGGCAACTGAAATGCCACTTGAAATCTAGATTTAAATATTTTATGGGAACTACTAAAGCTGCTCTCATTTCTAGCAATTTGAGAAGTTGTTCAACACAGCAGGCTCAAACCTCTAGTACCATGGCTTCAGAAGGGACACCAATACAGACTGTAGAAAATATGTGTCAAGCCTGTGAAGATTCATTAGCATTTGTTGACTTTTTTCCCTTTGTCAGTAAATGACTCCACCCTCCTTATTATTCAGCTCATTTAAATACAATGAATAGTACAGCTATTCTTTCCTCACATTTCTTCCTGTATGTTAAATGGAGACAGGAAAAATACCAGTCGTGACATGATCAGTTCCATTATGAACCTCCTTGTCAACAGTCATGAATCTGATGCAGTCTCACTTTACATTCATCATTCACAGAGTGCCTTGATTACAGAACTTTGCAAAGAAGACTTGTGCAAACACAAATAAGAAACTAATTCTCTTAAAACATTTTCCTGAGATGCTTCTTGCTTGCAGCAATTTAAAGCTGTATTCTACTGGGGAGGGTTCTTGCACAGTAAGGACACAACCATCCAAACATATCATATTTTGTTCCTGGAACCAGAGGAAAATGACAGGCAAAGATGGATTTGAAGACCTCTGGACTTGTATGTGCCATTTTTGAGTTGGTGTGAGTGCTTAAGGTCGGGGATGGATTCTGCTAAGCTGGGGATCAGAGGGCTACTTGTAGCCACCACCTACCTCTCTGGCAAGGTCAGCCCTTGTTCACCTCCATTAATGAACATTAATTCTGTAGTTTGTGTTCCTTGCTATTTGCATAAGGGAAGTTGTGTCCACTTTCAAGGCTAAGCAAAAGTAGTTAAAATTTATATTGGGAAAAAACTTGCAGTTACTCTAATTCCCTTTGGGGTTTGGCGTTTGGTTTGGGTATTGGTTTTGCTGTTGCTTCCCCTCCCCGAGGACAATATAAACCCAAGAAGCTCCCAGATCTGTTTCCAGTGAGTAAGCTCTTAGTTATCATGAAGTTAACAAAATTAAGATTTCTATACTTCTGTTGCCAACTAAATGATTTCTCCACTGCCGCTGTCTCGTCTGCGAGCAAAAGAGTGAGTCTGACTCACTAATCTTGAAAAAAAACCCCACCTAATAACCCCTACCTTCTCCCCAGAAAAACCCCAAAGACCCCAAAAACAAAACAAAACCCTCCAAACCCAGACTGCCTGTTTAATTATTTGCAGGTACTTAATCAGAGGCCTGAGAAGTGCTCTAGGTTTTTCCTTTTCAAGTATGTGATAATGCCACCTTCTGATAATGTGTATGATGGCAATCCAAGATTGTATGATGGCAATCCAAGATTTAAATCCTATATTCTTGTGTCTTCCTTGTACATTTTAGAACCGCAAGAACATGTTCATGAGGCTTTACTCACCCAAGCTACCTTTCTTCTCAGCACATTGTACAAATGTTGCAGTCTAGCAATACCTGACAATGATGGGGTAACATTCTAATGCCAGACCTCAGGAAGCCATGGGCTCTGTAAAACCGATGCTGTCCAATCTGAGACCTTCACTGCAAACTCCCTTTACAAGGGAGTTCAGGAGTTATCCTAGACAAAGATGTGCAAGTGCTAGGGATCCCTTCAGCCAGGCCAGAGCTGAATGTAGTTGGACACCCTTTGGGACTATGCTGACCAGAGGTTTAAATTCCTCCTCTTTTTGTGTGGTGGTAGTATGGAGAGGTAATGGAAGCGCACATTTTTGTTTCTCACTGGTGTATGTATTTACCATACAACTCATGTAAGATGTACATTTGAAACAACAGGACATACTTTGGAGATGACTGGAGTTATACGAGGATAAAGTAAGCGTTAGAAAAGGTTGCTATTTGCAGTTTGAGTTCTGCCGGTGAGAAAAATCTGTCTAAGCAGTGTTCTATAATCCCTGTTGCTTCAGAGGTCAAAAGAGAACAGTCTCATTCCTGGGAACCTTTTGGCTACCTTCCTGCTGCTCCCTGCAGAGCAAGGTTTGTGTTCTGCTTTTCCACTAGCAGGTAAGCATTTTCTCTCCCTGCTGATAATCATGTTGCTTTTCTGAGTTACAAGATTGAAAATTTGCTTCTTTTCTTTGACAGTGTAAAAAATGTTGGGAAAGTCAGTGTTTTTTTTCTCTCGAGGTTGCTGTCAAAATGCGTGTGTTCCTGTGTGGGGTGATTTTGAGTTCAAGAGACTTCACATTTTTTTGAAACTTCTCATTGGTGTCATTTCTGTGACTGCCCTCTTTCAAATGGGACTGGTAGGAATGAGCAAGAAGCTGTCGAAGTAGTAAATCTCTTCTTACTGCCATTTTCTTTCAGGTATATCCTGTACCTTTGACTAGCAGTAGCCATTCTGATTTAGCCAAGTTTCTCAGTAAATTTTGAATATAATATTTATTTCTCTTTTATTCCATCTTCCTATACTGCAGTCTTTTATTCCTATGCTTCCTACATTGCAGTCCCAGTGGGACAAAAAATACCTTTCAGGCTTTCTGGCAGAAGATGCCTGTGACCAAAGCTGTTGGCATAAAGTGCTCATGTGTTGAACAAATGTCATTTTCCCCTTTTCAGAACCAAGTGTGTCACCTGTGATGTGTCTAATTGCTCTTAAGTCCATATTTTACACCCTCTGGCACAGCATCTACAACAAAACTCGTGTTTTCATGAGCTAAGGCAACTGTGTTATATAATGCCATATGCACCAGTTAGTAGAGAATAAACACTTTTATAGGAGTTAGATAGCAAAATATTGCTCCAAATGCAGGGAATTATGCCTGGAATAGTCTTTTGGGATAAATATTCTCTTTCCATTTCAGAAGGTTCATATTTTTTTCTGGTTTTCTGTTCTCTGTGTGCATCAGTGCATTGCTTATCTGCTATAGAAAACTAAAACTAGGTTATGACTTCTTGTGATCCATTTGAAAATGACTCTGTGGCTGAATCAGTTCTGGTTTCCAATTCTGCCTTACTAGTGACTTGCTAACCTTAAGCATCCAAGAATTAGATTAAATTTTATGATTTAAGTTATCTGGCTGTTGACAAATACTGGGTGAATTTACTGTTTTTCTAATTCTTGAAATTAGGATATGTCTATATAAAGGATATACCTGAATCATGTTTTCATTTATAATCAGTAAAGAAATTATAAATGTTTCATGAGTTAATGTGGTTACATAATAGTGAATATAAGAAAATAATATAATAATATAATAATATATAATAATATAAGTGAATATAAGAAAATAATATAATAATAATAATAATGATTGGTACCTTGATATTGCTGGGACAAATGAATGATATAGTAGCTACTATGAGCCTTAAAGCAGGTAGACCACAAGGTAAGACTTCAACTGTGTGTTCTGTGAATTTAAATGAAGCCAGTGCAGCTGTATCTCTTGCGTATTTGGCCCATAGTAAGTGTAATATTTCCTATTATATCAAAAGTTCTATTCATAATGCACCAAAACCCTGGTCAAAATTATTTTTGTTTTATCTTTACTTGAAAATAACTACAATGCAAAGTAATTTGAACATAAGCTGGTAAAGTATACAAGCCCTATTAAGAAATTAATGGTACATTTCTCTTTCTTTTCTGTGGATATGTCCTTCAAATTCTACTTAACCACCTGTGTTTTGGGCTTTTTACTTTAAAAAAAGTGTCTGTTGATCTAAGATAAGGAGTCTTAATAGAAAACTAAAATTTTTATATATGCTCTAAACTGGGCCAAACTTAAAATATTTTCAAATGTTTTGCAAAGACAAAACCTCTCAAGTGAACCCAAGCTAACAGACCCAGTACATTAAGATGATCAGTGTGTTTCAATCTCACTTGGGCAAAACTTTTTAATATGTATTAAGAGTTGGAGCAAACTTGTGTGGTATAGAATCTTCTATTTCTTTTGGTTAGTTTTGTTTGTATGTTTTGTTGGTTGGTTTGTTTGTTTTGTTCAGTGATCACCAAAATGTTCAGCCTCTGCAGTGTCCCTTTTGACTTACCTGTTTTTCAAAAGGCTCCTTAGTCCTTTCTAGACAATAAATTATGAGACCTGGGCACAGAAAAAAAATCTACTGAGACTATCATTTACTGCTACTGCCTGTGAGTTGTGTTTCTTAAAAACTGCTTTCTTCTCCTTGTTTCAGGTAATGAATCAGGATATTAAATCAGGTGCTACTTGAATGATTAAGATACCTCTGAATCTTGGACTAAATCTAGGCAGTCACCAGGGTGAGAATACTTGGCAAATTTAGAGCTGATCATGTATTCCTGTTACCTTCACAGATAATTACCAAATTCGTCTATTCAGGCAGGAAAAGCAGAGGCCTTTTCTCTAAAGATAAACTTCTACATGCTTGAATGAGTGCTTCCAGGAGCCCAAGAACACTTGCTTGTAATCCTTCTGCATTGACACAGAAGTGTTGAGATGAAAAGAAATGCTGGTGCTTTTTATCAGGACAGCACAGGTGGATGGCCTTTGTTAACAACACTGGGATATTAGGTGATATGGAATTTTTTTCTCAATCTCTCAGGAATAAATTGTTCTGTCAGGATCTGAAAGCAAGTTAATGGCATAAGCCCTGAGCTTTGGCCAGGTTAATGTATTCTATGTATAGCTAGAGCTGTTGCAGCTAAACTGTTTCCTTTACATCCATCAGGTATTATCTGTTGTCTTTTCTTGCTTAACCTTTCTTCTCAGAGCGCTGCTCACCCTGATTTTTATATTGCTACTGCCTGCTTTATTCCTCGATTGCTTGTTTTCTTCCCTTCATTTCTGTTTCTCACTGCCTTCTAAGGAAATGACAAACCAAAAACAGTTGAGTGGTCAAGCGCATCTGAAATAAAGCAACCTGATGCATATGGCATGGTTCAGTGGATAGAGGATTTCATTCTGCATCAGAAAAAAAGAGCTTTCTCTGCCACTCATCTTTTCTACAGTGCTAAACAACCTATTTTATCTTAATTTAGGTAACAGTGAGACAGGAACAATGCTATGTGCCTTCTTTGAAGCCCTTTAAAATTCCGGTTTGTAACACACTTTTTGGTTTAGGTATACCTTTTACTAATCATGGGAAGGGAGCTGAGTAGGTCTGTTTATGCATTGCTGGCATAAAAGAGAAAGAACAGCTAATAAGATAGGGTTTTTTTTTGGAACTGCTTGTGCCTATGGAATATATTCTTCTCTTTGATGTATAATAGTTCAAGTTTGTCATCTGTCTCAGATCATCTCCCAAAGAACATCTTAAAATACATGATAGCTGTGTAGAGGTCGTGAAGAATGCAGAACCTGTGGATATCTCTGCAGGAGTGCCATATTTGTCGTGTCCTTTTTCCCACTGTCAGGAGGGCAAACCCATGAGACAAACGTGCTCTACAGGAGAGCCCTGTAGAGCAGAGGCAGCACTGGTGCATCTTCAGGATGCACCAGTACTGATGGAGATACAGACATCTCTCCAACTCTGGGCAACGCCACATCCCACAGGCACTGGGCAGAGTGATGCAGACATATTCAAGTCACTCTGCATGGAGCCAATGCAGGTCTAGCTGGGCTTGTTCAGCCTGGCCTATGTACCAGTATGTGTCCATTCACCAGCAATTTGGGGATTGTAGTAACTGCACTGGCTCAGTGCTCCACCTGTTCTGATAAATCCAGCTGGCCTGGAGCACCTGAGCCTGTTTTGTTTTGCAGCAATGGCTGCAGCCAATGAATCTGTGAGGTTAGGGGCTGTCATCTGCAGCTGCTTTAAGCTATCACCACAGTAGTTGTGGCATTGAGGGTGCCAACACAGCCTCTTGGGGTGGTTTTTAGTTTATTTTTTACTGATCAGATGTTTGGCTTGGGGAAAAGAAAGCAAACAACAGATAAGTTTGGGCCAGGAGCCATTCCTCTCCTCTTTCCTTTATGGAACAAAACAAAAAAGAAACCCAAACCATGCCTCTCAAGAAATCCAATCTGATAAAGAATAAAAAAAAAAAAGCTGATAAAGCAGAGCTCTTGTAAGTAAAGCATATTCATTATCTTTAGAACAGATGGAGATCAGCAAGAACATTTTAATGGACTACAAAACCTGTGAGTTATTTTGAGTTCATGATTATGCTGTCTTGTAGAACTCATAATTGTTACAATGAGTAATGAGTGGGCCTCAAATACGTTCATACTGTGAGAAATTTTTGCACTGAATTAATAGACCCTGAGTCAGAGATAACTTGTGTGTGTTGACTTTTAATGTTATAGAGCAATACTTCTCATAAAACACTTCAAAAGCAGGTGTAGAAAGTTGAAGTCTGAAAAATCAAAGAAAGAAACAAAGCAAGTCTCTGGTAGTTATTAATTTGTGAGACTTCCTCGTAGATTCGGCATGAAAAGAAAGTGAAAAAAAGGACTCAGAGTTGCAGCACAGCAGTGTAATTTGTGCTATGATTCATATGTATCGTTATGAAGGTACTGGAATAAAATAAAGGAACTGAATGTTCTCATTGGAATTCCCTTGATAGATGAACAGGCAAACAGTTGTCTGAGTAAATGATGTTATCAGAAAAGAAATGCAATAAAGCATCAGCTCTTTTTCAACTGAGCCACCCTTTCATCTTGCACATAGTTAAAAAAAAAATAAAGGGAGTTCATGCATTAGAAATGTCTTTTTTCTCCCTTTGGTCTAAAGGAGATATTTGCAGATATAAAATCTAGAAAAGTTTTTATTCTGTCTCTTACTGGCTAAGGAGGCATTCATCTTATGGAGGGCTTTTTCTTTCTTGTGTGGTACTACTGGCTTGGAACTTCAGTACTCTGGCACAATAGATTTTTTTAGATTTGCATGAACAAGGGATTTAAGACTGTATTAACAAGTCCTGTTCTTGTCTGAGCAAAGGCAGTGAAAGGTGTTTTGCCTTGGTAACAGCTGTGCTCAGACTAGCGAGAGGGCTTAGGAAGGACTCATACCTAAAGCTGCTTGGTGGTGCAGAGTGAGATGTCTCTGGACATTTGCACACCATTAGGTGATGAATGAATTGTCCTCTTGGAAAACTGGACCATTAGGTGTTGGTAAATGCTTTATTTACTCTTTTTGTGTCTCTTGGGCTCTGCCAGAGCTCCTGAGTGCTGTTTCTGTGGCTGTGTCTGAAGTTTCTGCTCCCGCACATGATCTAGGTTGGAAAAGAGTGAGGGTGCCCTGGCCCTCTCTCTGCTACCTGCTTTGTTGGCTGTTGATTGAGGAATTATAAAAATAATTTTGATGTGTATATGAGTCAATATCTAAAAAACAATGGGGAGTTTTCTACAGAGAATATAATAACTAATTAGCCCTAGCATAATCGTTACCTACCTGAAAATTCCATGTGTATTTTTTAACTTTCTGATTTTTATTGAAATAAAAATATACTAAACTGCACAAAAGAAATTCTGTTAACTTAATATCTTTTTTCTTCATGTATATATCTAATTGAATATGTTCCAACCTATTATTTGCTATTTAACTATGTAAACCTTTAATTTAATTATAGAAATTTGTAGTTGTTCAGGTACTTTCATAAATTTAAGTGCCTAAAAAAAGGTTAAGGAAATGTTTCATTGTAATATGTATTTATGCAGAATAGCTTGATGAGAATCTTTGGTTTAGCAATTCCATTTCTTAGTATCTCACCACTGCTGATGATTGCAAAACTAACATTTATTTTGATAATTCTGTGCTTCCTGGAGTACAGAGAAGCACAAAACTGCTCTTTTTAAAAGCAAAAAATGATAAATAATCTCCTTTAGAAAATCTGTAAAACAATTTTCAGATTTCTTAGAGATAGAGATAGCTGCAAGTCCATAGGATGCTGTGTAAATGGACACAAAAAACAGGGTTCTTGAAGAACTACTCCTGGTACGCAGAAAGAGTAGAACAGAGTTGTAAATGCTGATTGATAGAAGGAAGAATTCCATAAAGTTCCTAAAGCAAAAATAAATGCATCTTCTTGGAAAAAACTCCTTTGGCCATAACATATAAAGACAGCTGGTAAGTTCCATTACAAGGGAAAGAAATTTGAATGTGAGAGAGGGGGATCTGGAAACATTAGGGTGGTTGCTCTCATCAGGAATTATTTATGTTTTGCGTTGGGCATTAAACTGCTGTAGAATGAGCTTCACATTACACTTAAAATGAGTAAATGCAAATTTCTGCTTTTTTAAAAGGAAATTCTACAGCTGCTGAAAGTCCCTGTCCTCTGACAGTATTTACTTTCCGTTGGTTTTGTCATTGCTACCAAAGTTCACAATTTTCATGAAAGGGCTTACAGCCTAGACTGCTTCTTCCTTAGATCCCACTTTAGCCCTCTTAAGAGTTTAGAGGATCATGCTAGGAACTTAGTATTCATTTGATGTTCAGTATATAACAAACAAAAGTATTCATGTTGACTGCTTTGAATATTTGCTGTAATATGTGTGTGGATTCTCTTATCCTTAAGTGTGCTGCAATAATTAGGCCTAGAAAACACAAATTGTCAACATCTGATTTTCTCAAAGACGAGAAAGTAATTCTGAATTGTTGGCATCTTATTTAATGATGAAAAGATTAGTGGTGATATCCTGGGCCTGATATTGTGGAGTAGGCTCTTTCTATGGGCAACAGGACAGTTTGATGGTGGAGCTAGTGGCCAGAAGAAACACCTCTGCTTTTCCTGTTTGTAGTGTCAGATGGCTTCTCAGTCCAGCAGCTGCTCTTACTCCACTGTTCTGAGAGCTGGCGTGTGCGATGATGCACCTGATGTTTAAGAGCAGCCTATGTTGGGGGCACATGTGTAATTCAGGTAGCAGCATCAGGAATTTTTCCCCTGGGAAAGTGAAGAGCTGCGAAACAGAACATAACTTTGTGAGGCTCACTTGAGACCCCATACAGGATATGTATGCCACAAGATGCATGTGATAAACTGTGACCTAAACCCCACATTTCTTCCCTATTGCCTTAGGAGAAAAAAAAAAAAAATCATAAACCCAAACACCTGGACATGATTTTATTTGTTTTTTTTGTTTGGTTGGTTTGGTTTGGTTTGGTTTTTTTTCAATGCAGAAATTCAACCTTCATCATATGGGCTAAAGCATAAGCTATAGCACAACTGAATTAACTTTGAACAGTCTTCTGAAATCAAAACTTACTAAGTAGATTAGATATAAGAGAAGCAACATAATATTCAGCCTATTGAAAAGGATCCTCTGTTTTCCACAAGCTTCATCATGGAATCTTTAAGAATATATTAATATGAGGCAACACTAGTGCTGCTAGGACCCTAAGATGCAGCTGTCAAGTAACATCTGCCGAAAAGGGACTTGCTTCATTAGCTTTAAAACTCTCCATTGCTCATTAGGTTTCACTAGATGGGGATTCAGTATTTTTGAGTCAGTCATCCTGTATGAAATAGTTTGTTCATGACACTGATGAACAATTACCTACCCACACACTTGGGACTTTAAATTTGTTTATTTCAACTGAGTGTCAGTACAGGCACAAGCTTAGTACTTGTTTGTCTAGGAAGACTAATTGAAACACAGAAAAGTCAGTTTGGTTAACTACATAGATGAGATTGAAAGCTTTCTATAATAATCTGTTCTTAATTTCTCTTAAAGAGAATCTATAACCCCTCATGAGGTTTTGTTGCATGTTTTTATTTATTTAACTTTTTCAAGTACTGTAAAATATTAATTACAAATTAAAAAATATTGTTTCAACCCATCCAGTGGAAGATAAACTGCTGCGCATAATAACTTGAATTTCTGTTGGCTGATAAATGTTTAATGGCTTGTTAGAAAACTAATTGTCAGTTTAATCAGGAGAGTGACAATAATAACTCAAATATTTGCACTGTCATCTGCAAAGGCAACTGTAAATATGAGTTGTTCTAAAGCCTGTCTAAGGGTATGAATACACGGCAATCCCCTTGAAACAAATTCCCAATCTCTATTGAAATGTTTCTTTTCTATTTTATGTTGCTCACAATCCTTGTTATAAGCAGGATAAAACAAAACATTGTCCCCTTGGTCATATGAATCATTCATTCATTCGCGAGGTATCATATTGATGATTCTACGTAACAACAGAATTTAAAAGTGATAAAACTCCTTCAGTGATAATTTAAGACATTTTTATTTTTCTCCACTCCTTTCAATTAAATCAAAATACACAGGCAAATATGGGAAGGATGCATGCCTATAAACACACACGTGTACATATACACATAAATATATATTTATATACACACACTAGAAATTCACAGTGGAAGTTATTAAAAAAAAAACAAACCAAACTACAAACTAAACCAAAGCAAGTCAAAATAATTTCCTCTAAAGTGAATAATATTTATATTTCATGATCAGATTCTGTCTTACTGTCTTTGCTGAATTCTCAGTGAACTATATTTTCATTGACTCCAACAGGAAAATGGCTCTAAAAAGACTTCAGAAGATAACCCTGAGTATCTGAGTCACCATAGACAGCATGAGGCAAGCAAGCTTTTTCATTGAAAATGTAGGTATGACGTAACTGCAAACTTAATTTTGGGAAATATAGCTGTTTGCTTAATTAGCTGCAGCAGTCTTTTCTTGGCCAAAAGTTTTATTACTCCTTCATAGCATGACTGACCAGTGGTTTCTTTCAGTGGCAAAGGGATTTGCACACTCATTTATGCATCTTTTCAGGAACTTTTCAATTGACTGCATAGGGAAAAGTAGGGTAAGACTTCCCATCTCTTACAGCATCATAAGAATCGAGGTCAATTTATGAAAAATGGAGCTGTCAGCTTCCTCCCTCATTTTCCAAGTTGCCTGGCAGACCTACAGTAAGATCTTGCTTTACAGTTCGAGACTGAGCACATGCTCTATAGAAACAAACTTTATTTATTTCCTTTTTTTTCCCCTAATATCTTTATATAAGCTTCTGCTATTGAAGTATAGATCTTTTGGTCTGAGGAGGAAAAGCAAGAGGGGGCTGGAACTAGATGATCTTTAAGGTCCCTTCTAACCCAAACCATTCTATGTAAGTAGAACATAAAGTAAGTAAAAAAAAAAAAGTAAACTCTGTTTTTCTTAAGAAACTCTAAGGATAACCCAGGTTTTAAATTTAAAACATCTGGTTACCACAGACCATTTGGGGACCACATCTCTACAGCAAAATTTTACCCTTACAAATAGGATATTTCTGTATGGTCAGTTAGTACATATATGTAATTACAAATGTATAGGAACATCTGAAGATTAATGTTTGAGCAAAGTCTAAATAACTTGACCCTGAATATCATTGTTCAGAAACATGATGAGAATTCTTCCCTGACTCAGGCTTTAAGTTGGCAAGGAGTTCCCACACCTTTCTTGAAGTTTCAAGGTCAATATAATTCTTAGTGTATAAATTAAAAATAAAAAGGATTGTTTGTCATGTACATTGTCTGAGACATTTCTGCCTCTTTTGCAACTGAGATAGACAAAAGCAGTATCAGCAGAAAATATCAGTGTAAATAAGTAGCACAAAACATGCTGAAGTGGAATGGAAGGAACACGGTGCAGGTTGGCAGATTGCAAGTCTTGCATTACCTTGGAGTGAAGACACCCATGTTTGGCAATTCCTACTAGAACATGGTAGTTATGTGCTGAAAATTCCCTATTTCCTCTTTTCACAAGTTCTGCAAGGACCTGTGTATAATTGTCCCATATAGCTGGCATGTGAGCTAAACTAGCCTTTATGCATTATGTTAAGGGAGTACAAGGAATACAGCTTTCAATACTAGTGTATTATTCTTGTCTCCTTAGCATTTTATTCTTGGCAGAATATAGCATTGTAATGTTTTGAAAGTTGTGGAGTAACAACTCTTCTGCCTTAATGGTGAAGTCTAGTGAATAGAGGCTCCACAAACTATACATGCGGCCTCAAGAAAACAGAAGAACTTAATTTCATTTCTAGTAACATTTTATAGCTATGCCAGTTTAAGCATGGTAGTACAAGCCACAGACTAACTTCCACAAGCATCAAGAATCAGGATGTGTTTTTCCAGCCAAGTGTGTGGCAATATATTGCAAGGTTTGTAATTTTGGTTTGTTCTGCAACAGTATGCTTTCTTGTTTCACATGCTGAAGGATGGGATCCTGTTGGACCTGACTGCAAAACCAAGGTTGAATGTAAGGGCTAAATTCAAGATTTCAGGAGAGTAAAAGGGTGTGAATTTCAGTGGATTCTAGTGGTTTCTGCTTCAAAATAGCAAGCATACCTTTTCTAAAAAAGTTTATGCCTGGAATGGTGGTAGAATAGTTTTTGAGTGCGTGTGCTCCCTCTCTTCAGAAATAATTTAAAACATATACAATGGATTTGTGGATGTTTGAAAACTGACCTTCTTGAATAGCAGAGACATCATATGCATACTTGCATAAAAGTAATATGTCAATAATTCTGTGCCTTATTTACTTTTGTTGGAAAACCTTATTTAGGGTATAATACTTACTTGGTAGCTCTCAACTGCTGTTTCCTTCAAGTTAGATAACAGGTTGCTGAACACTGTTAGTTTAAAACATGGTTTTCCCTGGCAAAGGTGAAGCAGAAAAGCTGTTCCTATTTCCCATCTGTGTGCCAGAAGTCATTTATAGCAGCAGTTTTAATTTTCTTTTAAAATTTAGTTAAACATTTTTAATCAATTTTTATTATGAAACAAAGTATGTTTTGATTAAAATGCAGGCTGTGAGCTCTGGCAGTTTTATTAGCAATTTGTGACAGTTACCTTTTTTTTCCTCTCGTGGCTAGACTGTTTCATGTATAATTTACTGCGACAAAACACTGGCCTTAGTTATTGTCAATAAATACCAGCCCATTAGAAATGTGTCTGAGGTGTAGCTCTTTAATGTTCTTGGACCTGGAGTTAATGGAATAGTAAACAACCTTTTGGTTGCGAAAACAGTGAAGCAGAAGTATTCCTCCATAAAATAGGTTTATTGTAGATGTATGGATATTTCATGACAAGAACAATAATTTGTATCTACCTGCAGACAAACATGAATTCTTCTCACCTCAGTGATGTGAATATTTCTGAAGGTGTTAGGCTCATTTTATGATGAGCAGGATTTGGCTGTGTACACTCGCTACATGAAGAGTAAAGGTTGTCACTGTAGCAAGCCTCTTTATGATGCTGTAAGTAGTGTCAGTAGAGATATGAATTAGACAGCTTTTGAAAAATACAGATGGTTTCCTTCCCATACACAGAGTATGGGAAAAAAACCCTACAGCATATGAGTAGGAGTTAGTTAATTATGCAGCGCTTGAGAAAAGTCCATAGTTTATAAAAAGAACCCATTGTAATTTACTAGCTTTTTGCTGTATCTTAATTATACTGCAGATGTAAGAAAAAATAGTACTATGGAAAGTCAGGTGTGCTAAAGAGAGAACTTCAACTGAGGTAGCAGTTAAAAGTAAGTGGGCCTACTTGCCTTTTAAAAATTATTATAATCAAAATGAAAAAAAAAGAAATCATCGGAACAACTTCCATGTCTCTTCCGAGCAGAAATCCCATCAGAAGAATTTTCACAAAGTCCCCGCATTTCTCTGTGCTTTGAAAATCACTTTATCTGGTCTAGATCATCCCAAATAGATGTTATCTCATTCTTTGTTTTCAGAGAATCACAGAATGCCTGAGGTTGGAAGGGATCTCTGGAGGGTATCGGGTTCAGTCAGGGCCACCTAGAGCCAGTTTCTCCAAGACCATGTCTTTTGACATGGCTTTGAATATCTCCAAGGATGGAGACTTCACAGCCTCCCTGAGCAACCTGTGCCAGTACTTGGTCACCCTCACAGTCAAAGAGCATTTTCTGATGTTCAGAGGGAATCTCCTGTGTTTCAGTTTGTGCCCATTGCCTCCGTTCTTGTCACTGGGCACTACTGAAAGCAGCCTGGCTCTGTCTTCTTCATATCTAAATATCTTCAGGTATTTATATGCATTGTTAAGAATTGCTCTAAACTGCCTTTTCTCTAGCAGTCCCCATTCTCTCAGCCTTTCTTCACAGGAGAGAGATGCTCCAATCCATTAATCATCTTAGTGTCCCTTTGCTGGGCTTTCTCGAGTAGCTCCATAACTCTTATGTACTGGGAACCCCAGAACTGGGCATAGCACTCCAGGTGTGGCCTCAGGAGTGCTGAGGAAAGGGGAAGGACCACCTCCCTCAGCCTGTTGGCAGTACTTTGTCTAATACAGGCTAGGTCACCATTAGTCATCTTTGCTGCAAGGGTACATTGCTGCCCCATGTTCAACTTGATGTCTAGCAGGACCTTCAGGTCCCTTTCTGCAAGACTGCTTCCCAGCTGCTTGGCCCCCAGCATAGGGTGACTGGTGACTGCAGAGGTTTGAGCCTTCAGCAGTGAATATTCCAAAGCCTATAAAGCAACCTATTCCAGAAAATCCTTAAGACTAGATGTTGTTTTCTTTCCCTGTGTAAATTAATCTTTTGCTGTATTTTAGGTCATATTTTTAATGCTCTTTTATATTTTGAGGTGGTCTTTAATTCTCTCCACATTTTAGCAGCAATCTTAAACATTTCTACATTTATCACATACTTTCTCAAATTTGTCTTCAACTAAGTAATCCTAATTTTCCCAATATTTTCTTATGGGTCATATTTCCTAGCATACAATTGAACTAATTTTCTGATAATTTTTGTGGGGTGTTTTTTTCCCTCTTGACTTTCTGTCTTGAACCAGAGCTTTCTTGAATTTTTAGTGTTTTCAGTTGAAGCTATAGTTGTTGCAGAGTGAAGAATTAACTTCCATGCAGGGTAGATATTTTGTTGTCATCTGATTTTTTATGTATGTATGTATTTATCTATTTATAATGATTTCATAGTGTGGTTTGGGTTGGAAGGGACCTTAAAGATCATATAGTTCCACCCTCCCGGTTACAGGCAGGGACTGGCCATTTGTCAGA